TAGCTTTCGGTTCAGTCAATCCTTATAAAGAAGTATACTATATTATATGAAGAACTGAAGTTGATTTACTTACACTGCCTGCGGAGTGGAAAAAATATGTTATCAGAATATTTTGCCTGAGCTAGGCCTCAAAAACAGTCAATCATCAAAGTATTGCTCAATTCACTAGCTATGAGCAATCAATTGTTAATCATTGCAAAGTCAGGTGATCTTATCACTTGACATGCAATGATTTGTTATAATTGCACTATGTGTTGATCTTTTCACTTTACAGGCAGCTTGACAAGCTCGACGTCGACTCCTTTATATGCAGAGCTACACACTCCTAGAAGGAGTTGGCTGAATAGAAAGGCACAGTACTGATAAGGCCATAAGGTCAAAAGGTGCGTTTGGGGCTGCAAATCCCATGTTAGACCTCGTGAAAAGCATAGGATAAATTATCAGATTACACTATGAATACTCTAAAAAGATGGCCCTAACTATGCAATCCAAAATTTGCTTCACACGTTTTCTGCTAGGTTTATGTGAGCGTTTGACTGAGTGGATTACAATTTAATTTGACTTTTCCAGGCTCTGGAGAAGGTGAGACTCTTCAAACAGTATCCACTGTATTATTGTTGTTTTATTGTAGTGCAATACTCCACTGTCTTATAATACTGCATTACTAGAATGCAGTGAGTACTACTATCACCAACCTCGGAACGTTATCGTGAAAAACCATTGATTCTACTCTATCCCATCTATATCTATCAAATTTTCGTCTATCCAATGCATATTTATCCTTCATTTACTGCGTCAAAAACAACCCGCTTTTACTAGGTTGTCCCATATCCTCTTCCGTATTATTAATTTCAGCTCTCATTGAAATTCTAGACCGCGCTATTGATAAAAGGCAGCAGCATATTGAAGAATGTTCTAGTAAAACATGAATACGGCCTTAGCACTAACGCCCGCAGTCTGAATGGATGGAAGACCTTAGCAAAATGATGTCTCGATAGGCATCTGATACATCGAAAAACCACAAACGCGCTGCACGTTTACTTCTGCGAAATTTTCTGCTACAATCGACATGCAAAATGAGTCCTAGGTTTACTACGAAAACAACACCCGTCGTTTGTCGCCTCAACCAAACCCAGATTCCGTCTAGGAAGATTATGCTTTCGGTTTTTTTGGGATCGACGAGGCATGCTTTTTCAGATCTGCTCGGCAACAAGCAGACGATTAGCGCCGACACTCCGGAAATAGGCAGCAGCAGTGCAAAAGAAGAGTGCGAGACGAATCAGCGTCGCCCTTCCTTGAAGTAAGCTTGACTTGCTTACACTAAAAAGTCGATTGGCCACATTTTAGAGAATCTGGGTTAGACCATAGCACCACAGCCACCGTACAGTCCTGATATTGCTTTGCATCTTCAACCGATATTGCTCTATCGAATTATAATTTCTTCCGCTCCCTGAAGCAGCATGTGCGGAATAAAAGGATGTAACGACTAGAACCACCTCAAAAGTAATCGCACTGTTCTTTGGTCGCACAACCTCACCGTTTCCAGGCCGACAGTTCCAATCTTTGCCTAGCGTGTGACTGCATATTATTGATCATGATGGTGATTATATTGTTCATAGACTGATTCCTTCAAACAGATAGCGATTAATAAACGATCACTACATTGCCGCAGATAGATAAATATTCAAATAACCGGTGACGTAATCATTTTATATTTCTTAAATCAATATTACGGTATATTTCCTCCAGTTATAACGTCCCGGCATTCCAAAAATACACGAAAATCATTATAATGATTGAAATTTACAAGACAAACGATAGTTTGGCTTAAAGGATGCGCTTACTGCATGCGATATCACTTACTGATTACTCTCAACACTTGTACTAATTATTAGTACAATTCTGGAGTTGAACACTTTATCGGTGTATATAATAGATGTTGTTCTATTGTATTATGGGGGCAAAAAGCGAGTAGATTATTTTTTCTGTTATGTCTCCACAACAGGCAGAATTTATTGTGGCAATTTTATAACTGAACATGCGCACCGATTTCACTCCTTCTGCGTATTTCTGTCGTTAAATGCTCTCAAAATGAGTTTTAATACACTAACATTTCATAAAGACGAAGTATTCCCATCATATAAACTTTTCTATATAACTGATGACAGTGTCTTCTGCGAAGTTCGAACGACGGACTAACTAACGTGATAGCAAGGCGTATTTTGTCGTTAAAACTGTTTAACAAGGAGCGCATGTGGCGCAGTAGATAGAGCTGCTCTGCGTCGCACACGAAGTCAATGGTTCGATCTCGCGCTCATGGTTCATCAAGCCTTCTATCCCTTCGAGGTTGGTAAACTGGTACCAGAGTGCTTTCAGACGCGCCTGGGAGGATAAGCAGCACTGGCTTTGTTCGGCGGGCATCCATTGCAAATCATTGTAAATCCAGATATGCATTCAATCACCTCGAGCGAAGTAAAAAATTGAGGACGAAAGCATTGTGCATCTCTCAAGGGCTGATCGACTCCGAGAGCTTTATCCTTTTACTATTTGACAGAAGGGTCTTCCTGAAAGGCATAGTACTAAAATCTTTCAGTGATGTAGAGTGATGTGCAAATTTTTTGCGTCAGCTGGTACTCGAACTTACTTTTCACTCTATTCGGGGGCGCGTGCTCGCCGAAGCCTATTTTGACATCATTCTTCTTGGGCTAGCTCGATGTCGACTACCCATGCCAAACCGTTGACGGCTGGTTGCTGACAGATGTGTGCGTTGTAGCGTAGAAAGACTGGTGTCAAAACAGGCGTCGGTAGTGCAACGGGTTGAGCACGCGCCCCCGGATAGGGTGAAAAATGTGGGTTTGAATTTCCCCGACGAACGTTTTGCACATTACTCTACATCACTGGGTATATTATGACATCGTGCCACTGCTAAACTTGGTTGATCAAAAAAACTCCGTTCGATCAACTATAATATTCACTTCTCTAGCTATCGAAGGACTATTACAAGTCTGATAAAAGAGCAGGAGAGTCTAACTGTTGATTGCTAAGATTACAAATTCTACTCCTTGAGTGTAAAATACTGATTAATGGTATCGGTTAAATAAATTCAAATTGTTGTTGACCTTTTCTGATTGCATAAATAAACTGCTGGGTGTAATATTTTTTTTGAGCAGAGAAATAGTGGGTCTATGTCAGAATTGTGCATTTCTGTAGAACCACTCCACAAATTCACGAACGCCAACTCTATCGAAGCGTACTCGAGCTAAGTCCAATAATTTCGTCTATACAAGGGCATTGTACAAATTCTAAAATGCATGAAAACGTCTTTTCGAGCAGGAGCTTTACAATATCGCCGAAACAAATGTGAAAGAGTTGGGCATGTGTTATTTCCCCAGTTACGAGGTTGTGCAAAAGTAAAGCGTTCTTTGCGTTGTTGAATATTGCCATTTGGTACTAGAATCTATTCTCAAATGAATGTGGCTGCGCTACACATTATTTCAATGCATATTTCTCACTTCATGTGCTGCTGCTATTGAAGGATTACTTGTGCCTCGTTTTCTGAAGCAAATGCGAGAAATTTCTCATTCAAAGTGGGTTTCAAAGCAACAGAGACTACTCGCAACAACAATAACGCATTTGGCTGAGGTGGATAGAGAAGTTTCATAAAAGAAACAGTAGTTTTGAAGATAAGGATTATAGTGGTTGATCACGAATAGTTGACAATAACCGACTGAGAGTAATCGTTGAAGCTGACTGTGTTTGCCGTTTGAAGCAAATGAAAAAGTAAAAACTCTATAAGTGGGTTTTATGTAAACTCACAAAAAATCAAAGAGTTGTCGTTCAAAAATATAGCCTTTTCTTATTCCAAGTAACAACCGTAAATTGGTTCTCAGTCGGACTGTGATATGATGAAAAATTGATATCCCACGAGAACTGGTGACGATCAGCTCATGGTTGAACCGAGAAGTTCCAAAGTACTTGCACGAGAAGTTCCAAAGTACTCGTCTAAATCAAACTTGCACCATAAAGAGGTCATCGTAAGTGCATGATGGTCCGCTGCTGGTCTGATCCGCAACAGTTTTCTCAGTCGAGGCAAATCCATTCTATCTGAGAAGTATTTTCAGCAATTCAATGAGACGCACTAGAAAGCGCTATAGCTGCAGCTGGCATTGATCATCAGAGCATCCGATTCTTCTCCACGACAAGGTGCGGTCATAGGTCGCACAAGATATGCTTCAAAAGTTCAACGAATTGGGCTATGAAAAAATGAGTGAATGCCTTCCAAGAGTTTGTCGAATCCCGAGTCGATGTTACAAGAATAAATAAACTCATTTCTTGTCGGCAAGCATGTGTTGGTTGTCATTATTTTTCTTTTGACAGGATAGGACGTGCTTGAGCTTAGTTAATGAAGCTTTACAAAAAGATAAACCATTCGGTGTTGATCAATCTCTGAAAAATATACCATGCACTCACCTCCAAATTGCAGCCTCGCTTAAGGTAACTGAATGCGTATCAATGACTTGCGTTGACCTATCAATCAATCAAGTCAGTGTCGCTATCCTCTCAGGAAGGTTTGGTACCGATTCACTGACCTTGATGGGGTATTAATTGGGGAACCCTGAGCGTGGAGTCAAATTCGGTCTGAAATCGCAATACTTTTGCACGAAAGATATGGATTATAATGTATAGTGATATGCAAAACATTTGCATTGGCCGCAATTTCAAAACCTAGACCTCACTCTTTCCGTGAGCGTATGTTAACCGCTGCACCACCGACGCTCTTTTGCACAGCACTCTTTCTACTCTACAACGCTTCTATCTGTCGACAGCCAACCGTCAGCGCTCTGGCGGGGCAGCTGCTATCGGCATTGAATCCACTCATGCTGACAGATGTTAGGTATCAACAGATAATCGTACTTCATTTACTTATTTATTTAACCGCCTCTTGCGCTGTTATGATCTTTCAGTAAACCCAATAAAGTAGAGTGATGTGCAAAAACGTTTGCGTCGGCCGAGATTCAAACCCAGATCTCACTCATTCCGGGAGCGCGTGTTGAGCCGTTGCACTACCGTTTCAACACGCTCTCTCGGAAAGAGTGAGATCTTGGTCCGGATCCCGGCTGAAGCAAATGCATTTGCACACCACTCTACATCATTTGGTTTATGGAAAGATCATACCACCACAAGACCGCGACTATTTTTAACTAAAGGTGCATTTGTACAAGTTCCGAAAAATAACTATCCTCTCCTAGCGATAAAGTTTGTTTGAGAGCAAAATCATTTTATATAATAACAGAAAATCTAATGCGAAGCTAAAACAGCTCACTCCAAAAACAAAATGTAACATTTTTCCCGCTAAGAGATCGTTCTAGAAGGCCTTATCACAAACCGAGTTTAGCCTTGAAATCAGCATTTCGCAATCTATCGAAGGAGTGAAAAATTATAAATTGAAAAAAAGAAACAGTGTAATAAAACAAGTGTAAAAAAGTTCTTTCCCAAAGAAATGTGGACTTCTTATCAATTTTTGGGCGATAGAAGTTCTTTTTGCTGAAGAAAACCCAATAAGAGTTTATTCTATGATTTTCATCAGTCAATTGATAATGCTCCCTCAGAACCTTAGTATACCCAATGACTTCCTTATTTCCATTGTTACGCGCCCCGAAATTAATTTGCGAGAAAATGCGACACCACAGTTACGGTAGTTGAGCATGACCCCAAACCGCGCAGTGTGTAAAAGAAGTCATAGGTCGTCAACAAGGGTTTAGCCTTCACAAAAGATATTCCGCTTAAGTAATAAAGAAATCTACACATCTGTTGTTAGTCCTTTATGAAATATGAAAAGGAAATCCATGAAGATGAAAAAATCTCTTCTAGAGGGGCCACCCGGAGAACAATGGTACAGAACCAAGGTCTATTAAGATGTGCTTCACAACAGCTCGAGTAGCTACAATGAACCAGATCGCCACTTAAAAACGAAGTGCACAACCCTAGTCAAGAGGAAGTTCCTGATATCTTTCAATATTGTTCAAAGTCTGCCACTTCCTCTTAAATATTGATGGCCGCGATTTATAGCAAACTATTATGAATGGAGAAAAATCACCATGTTTTGTCATTATTGCAAATAAGAATTGCTCTATTTTCAAATGTTCATTACTACATACGCACATCAGCGATGTATTAATATCGACAACCTCTTTTTCTTTATTTGAAACTCGCATGAGATTGGTATTTCCTTCTGTTCCTCAAAACTCGATGGTTAACGTTTCGGCGGTAAAGCCTTCGTTAGAGCCTAGACGTATAAATTATATCATACCTGATTATCCGGTTAATAAGTTGCAAGCATCAAAAATCTAATAGAAAAGAAATCAACAGTCTAGTCAGATCAGAAATTTTGCATTTTTCCAATCATGCCAAAGTTTATAGATAGTCGGACTTATGAGTTATAACATCGACGTATTTCTCAGACAGAAAAGCAGATATTCAAAGACACCTGGAAGCACTGCGGGCCGGGTTTACGGTGAAATTGATGCTCATAATGGATCATCAATTCTGGAACCATTGCGATCATAGTTTTCACGATTATAAGCTTCACATCATGCCAAAGCTTCCTAGTTTCTATGCCACATACACCCATTTGGTAGAATACAGTTGAAAGAAGGCGTTTGCTTCCTAAAAGAAAATCACTGAATAAATGAGTATAATCTTACTTATCAGATTTTGACATCAATTCAATTTACCATCATCAATGCTGAGATAGTGCGCAATATGGAAATGGCTGCTAAGCAATACGCAAAATTGTACATGCCACAAAACCGATGTAATTTAAAAGAAAACTTCAGCATGTTTTCAGAAGTTGTAAAAGTGCTATAAAAAGTGCTTTGAAAGGCTTAACTTTGTAGTAATAATTCCATGCTCATACTCTTACCAGTAACTTGATCTTCGAGCGAATTACTGTGAACATAGGCCTCGCTTGCCTTATTTAACGAATAGTTTGTCAGATGCGAAAAACGGATTGTTGAAATTACTCGGTGCCGGTTTTTCATACTTCATCGTACAAAATCGGGCCATACCTATGCAAAAATTGTGTATATTTTGAATTCAACTTATTAAGCAGTAGTATTCATGTAGAAATAAAAAAGGAAGAAGAATTAAGGTGTGAATAGTGATGAACGAGGCCGAATCGAGTATCTCCAAGCACACTGACGGCATTATGATAAGATCAGTTAAGAAATTCCTTCGAGTCACAAATTTTTCAAGGAAAAATACCAAAATTAGATTTCTTATGAGATATGCGACGTTGTATCAGTATATATATATATATATATATATATATATATATATATATATATATATACGTTTATGGCATTTCCACAGTAACAGAGAGCGTCAGTAATGCTATTCATTCACAGTAGTACCATATCTGGCAAAGTGAGTGAACGATCAGCTACGAGAGTGGCTACTAACGAGATGTTGGCAAGAATCTTACATTCATCAAATTTTTGATTAAAAGGAAGACAAACCTTCTCTGGATACGTATATTGACAAAGGATTGAGGCTTTTGATGACACCATACACACGAAAGTCGAATTTCAGTTCATCCTTCATGAGGAATGGATCCGATACATATTCCTGTTTCAGTGAGTATAAGTTCAATGTTATATAATAGTCGCGAAGTTTACATGTAAAGAAAAACATGACCCGTAACTTTCATTGCTAATTTCTTGAGCCCTCCATTTCAATTCCCTCTATCCTACAATTAATTCACTTATCAATGCATCTTTATGTTTGTCATTTCCATTCTTACTTGCTGTAACAATGCATCATCAACTCGCTAAACCTCGTAAACGTTAATAGATCACTATTATTGTCAGAAACCTAAGAAGAGAAGCAGTGCCCACCTGTACGAGTTGCTCCATAGATAAATCTCTTATCTGATTCAAATCATTAATCAAATAAATTCCCGTGCCTTGTGCTCCTGAACAGAGTTCCTAAGTAGCATCGATCAAATGCTAACAGTAAAGTACTAATTTAATATCAGCTGAATAATTAAACTCCTCTAATTGTAATCGTTGAGTTAATAGTCAACGTTTGCACCGGGAAGCGATTCGTACCTTCATTAGGTTTAACGATAAAGTAGGGCTTCTCGTCTACTCCCTGCTCTTTACGACGTAGTAGCGCATCTTTCCAATAGACCTGTTGGTGATTGTATTAATTTCAGCCAAATTTTTGCAGCAACCAATCGATAAGACATTGGTAGGTTTATAAGCGTCAGAGAAACGTTCTCAGCAAGAACACTTTCAATCTCTTTTAAAAACTAGTGCGAACCGAGTAATTAAAGATCCGTTTTGTTATATAGACTTTCATACCATCAATGAAGAAATTCTGGAACTATTAATGTATAGTTGGTCACCTTTAGGTCATCGTAATGAGCTGGTAAAAGAAATGAACGAGGATAAAACATGTATGCGTGTGGGAATATTTTTTCCATTGAGCAGATTGCGTGCGTGAGTGAAATTTTTGTAGAAAGTTCCGTCATACCTAAAATGGAACCAAATAAGTGTTCAAAACCTACTTAGATTTCTATAACATTTTAAATTCACAAGGCGATACATAAACTTTACGGAATTAGAAAACCGAGAACTTGCCGGGAAATTTATTTACTCGAGATCCAGGAGATTTCACAACTTTGTTGAAATCCGGATGTGCGGCGCTATACCAATAGATATCACAAGGCTGATTGTCATCACGACCAAAAGGATACTTAAAAAAATAAGATCTCATTCAATTTTTACCAGATTGTATAACTACTTCCAGTGAGCGCTAACTTCCTCAAACCCGAGCATTTTGGCGCATAGGGTGACTACTGGATGACACCCGAAGCTACATGTGGTGTCAATAGAGAACGATCGACGTTTCTGTGGATCACCACTAAAAGATCTTATAACATGGAAAAATAAAGCAATAAGAAAGAAAAAAAAATACCACTCACTTTTGATTTGACGTCAAGACTGTTTCCATAGATGAGGATTGCAGCACTAAACACGCCGTAGCTGGTTTCCCAGGTAACTGAAATTTTGTTCAGCGTCGGCATAGTACATTTTTTTCATGCCCATTTAATAAGCTATCATTAGGAGTAACTTTATCGAGCGATATTATCTCTGCGTTAGAGTGAAAATAGCTTTGAATCATTTAACTAACTCCTTTAGGACGTAAAGTATTCATTTGGATAAACGGCTTTCTAGAAGAATTTCTCGCTGGAAAAAATTCGATACTTATTCGTTATTCGCACTCAGCTTCGACTACATAAGAAGAACGAAGTTTTGGGCCTTTTTAATGCTTAAACAGTCATTCGATAACCTCATCAGAAAAATTTAGATGGTTCTTTCTTTTTTGAAGAGGCTTTATTGATGCGCTAAGAGTGGAAAAAATTTTATTTATCATACAAACATTTCTCGGTAACCAAAGCTTTTTTATCAACTCTTAGCAACCAATCAATAGGTCAAATCTTGGCAATTCCAATAATGTGTCAAATTTTTTTAATGGACTTCGTAATACGCTGAAACAGCTAAAAGAAATTGGGTTTCGCAAGACTAGATTGCTTCCATTACCCGCACCCTGTTTCAACCCTTCAGAAAAACATATTTTCCGATCGTTTTTAATAACTAAACAATTATTAAAGGGAAAGCGATTGATATTTTTATTTTCAAAAAGCTTTACCATTGAGCTGAAAAGCAGAAACAAAATTTTATTTCTCATTTAAACATTTCTCGCTGAACAAGGTTATATCTTTGGACTTTTGTAACCTATTCTGTAGATCAAATCTCAAGAATTTCTGTGATGTCTATGGCTTTTAAGACATATTTCTTAGTGCGCCATAACCGTCAGAAGAACAATAAGTTTCGCACTCGGCACGCAGGGTGTGTCTCAACTGAAGAGGCTATGCTTCTAACATTGTCAAAGAGTCTGTGAGCCGTACTCAAGCTTCATTCGACGGCTTCTTTTGCGCAGTCTTTCGGCTTGCTACAAGCCATGGTTTTGTAAAAAACATGACTGCGTCTTTTTCAGTACTAGGTAAAGTATGAA